TTTTTTTTATTATTATTATTATTATTTGTAATTAGTACATGGTATATATTGATATTATTATAATAGTGTAATAAATAATTTCTATATTATTGTTATACTATTTATACTTAATTTATCTGAATTACTGTAGTATAACAAAAATATATCAATTATTTATACTAGTATTATAATACTTTATATACATAATTAGATAGTTACTTATTAAATTATTATATTACTATAACTAATATACTACAAGTTTCACGATTATGTAATCCTTCTTTCTTTTTTTTTTTTTTTCTTTTTTTATATAGGCATGATAAAAAAATTAGGTTATAGAGGGTCAATATGTCAAAGTTCATTGTTGTGCTTAAAATTGCCCGGTTTTAATTTCTAAGCCCGAGTATAGTCATATTTTTCTATTTTATCGATTATCATCAAAAAGAAAAGAGAGAGAGAGAGAAATTATTATTTACGATATTTAATAATTATATCTAAAAAATTTATTTCTTTTAATTTAAGAGAAGAAAAAACTCACACGTTCTTGAAATTCATTGTTAATTTCTAATTTCAAGATATCATTGTATTCTTTTTTTTTTTAACTTTTCCTAAGGAACAACAAAACGAGGAAAAAAAAAAAATAAAAGTAAACAAAAAAAAAAGATGATCTACGATATTCAATAATTATATCTCTAGTTGTTTATTTATTTAGTTTCTTTTTTTTTTTTTTGTTTTTTTTTTTGGATTCAATCAACGATTTCTCGAATGTATCGAAGGGAAGAATTCATTCGTCGTCGTCGATGAGGGAAAAAGAAAAAGGAAAAAAGAAAAAGAAGAAAAAGAAAAAGGAAAAAAGGAAAAAAGAAAAAGAAAAAGAAAAAGAAAAAAAAAAAGAAAAATTCGTGTAATTTATTCTAGCTTATCTTCGATATGTTTTACGTCTCCGACGGAGCGTTACAAATTTAATCCGATCTCGGGAGAAAAGTAAGATAATCTCTTTCGAAGATAAAATAAAATGGCCAGGATATATAAGTACACCTACTTATCAAGAGAGCCTTTTTTTCAGTGCCTATTTAGGGCAATTTGTTAGTCGTACTAAGCGTTCTTCTTAAAGGTTTGGGACGAGGGATGAAAGGAGAAGGTAGATACACTCGAATAGATGCTGCATTTGCATTATTTTATATTTAAAAGCTAAATCGTCTTTGTTGGTGGTGATGGCGTAGTAGGGGTAGGATGGAGGGCGAGGGTGGTATTATTCGATTTCTAGACTAAGAAAGTGAGTTCTTCAATTACCGTTGGTACGTTAGTAAACACGCTTCGCTTCGAACATAGTTAATTATTCTTTCTCTGTGAAAAGACCAGGTGCTTCAATTATTTCTTTTTTTTTTTCGGTTTTTTTTTTTTTTTTACCAACAAACGTTTCGTTCATTCTCTTTTGAATTCATCGAAAAGAACGTAGTCGATTCTTGCGTTTGACAATAAATATATATATATATATATATCTCTCTTTTTCTCTTTGATATACACATGCACACATTTGCATCGTACAAAGTTTAAAAAAATATATTTCGTTATTTTTTTGTTAATCCTTAAATACATTTCATCACAATATTACGAACTGTTATAAATATAGTGTAATGTATATACAGGGTGAATATAAAGTATTTAGGTCATTATAAATATCGATTATTCTTTTTCAAGACTTTTTAGACCGATCTTTTTCTTTTTCAGAGGCTATAAAATTAAAGGTTTAGCTTGCTAAGCTATAGCCTTAACTGCTAAAGCCTAAGATAGTCTTCGAAAGGAGTAATTGATTTTTAAAATCACCTATAAACTTTTTATCCCTTATCTAAAATGCGTTATGTAAAAGAATTTAATTAAAAACTTTTCCTTCTTCTTTTTCTTTTTCTCCCTTTTATTATTTACTTGATATTAAATGTTTATATTCAAACGAATCAATTGGGGAATTAATCGTTTTAACTCATCGAATGTAACAAAATATTTAAGTACTTTAGATATGTAAAATTATCCGGATATTATTAATTTTTTTTTCTTTTTTTTCTTTTTTTTTTTCCTTACATGACTTGATTTCGTTCCTATGAATTACAACTTGGAAGTATTACATTATATCGTGCAATTAATTCTGGCAAAATGCCATTCTAGATAACTCCATTTATAATGGTCATTTTCAAACCATTGTCTCTCTTTTCAGTATATATATATACGTACATACATATACATATACATGTACATATATATACATATATATATATATATAATTGTAAAAGATTATTACAAATCCCAATTAATTTTCATCTGTTCCGTTCTTTAATTGTACATTTATAATTATATATATACATATATATATATATTTCTGAAACTTTTTTTAAAATTTATAAAATTTATTTAATCATTTGTTATATACGCTATATACAAACACTCATATGGATATATTATTTATTAAAAATAAATTAATATACGATAATATTTAATTATAGGTATATAAGAAATTTAAGTAGAA